AGGACGGGAATCACGAGAGGAGAAAGAGTGGGAAACATGAAGGGAAAAGGGTGGGAAATGTGAGGTGAAAAGAGTAGAAAACATGAGGGGAAAAGAGCGGGAAACGTGAGGGGAAAAAGGGGGGGAAACATGAGGGGAGAAAAAGAGCTGGAAAACAAAAAAAAGATAAAAAAACTGATTTGGAACATCAAAGACACCCCAAAAAGAGTGGGGGGACAGGAAGGACCCCTCAAGAAAGAGATGGCGGCGCTGAGGGTGGAGGAGTGGGAAATGTGAGGGGAGAAAAGAGCGGGAAACGTGAGGGGAGAAAAGAGCGGGAAACGTGAGGGGAGAAAAGAGCGGGAATACGTGAGGGGAGAAAAGGCGGAAAAGGTGAGGAGAAACGGGAATCGTGAGAGGAGACAAGAGTGAGAAACATGAAGGGAAAAGGGTAGAAAATGTGAGAGGAAAAGAGTGGGAACCGTGAAGGAAAAAGGGTGGGAAATGTGAGGGGAAAACGGGTGGGAAGTGTGAGGTGAAAAGAGTAGAAAACGTGAGAGGAAAAGAGTGGGAAACGTGAGGGGAGAAAAAGGGCGGGAAAACTTGAGGGGAAAAAGGTGGAAAAGGTGAGGAGAAACAGGACGGGAATCACGAGAGGAGAAAGAGTGGGAAACATGAAGGGAAAAGGGTGGGAAATGTGAGGTGAAAAGAGTAGAAAACATGAGGGGAAAAGAGCGGGAAACGTGAGGGGAAAAAGGGGGGGAAACATGAGGGGAGAAAAAGAGCTGGAAAACAAAAAAAAGATAAAAAAACTGATTTGGAACATCAAAGACACCCCAAAAAGAGTGGGGGGACAGGAAGGACCCCTCAAGAAAGAGATGGCGGCGCTGAGGGTGGAGGGGTGGGAAAAGTGAGGGGAGAAAAGGGCAGGGAAAAGAAAAGAAAAAAAGATAAAAAACTCATTTGGGACATCAAAGACACCCCAAGAAAGAGTGGGGGGACAACAACGACCCCTCAAGAAAGAGATGGTGGCGTTTGTGGAGGAAGCAAAGAGCGACCCAGCACATAAAAGGGTAGAGGGGTGGGAAATGTGAGGGGAGAAAAGAGCGGGAAAATGTGAGGGGAGAAAAGAGCGGGAAACGTGAGGGGAGAAAAGAGCGGGAAATGTGAGGGGAGAAAAGAGCGGGAAACGTGAGGGGAGAAAAGGCGGAAAAGGTGAGGAGAAATGGGAATCGTGAGAGGAGAAAAGAGTGGGAAACATGAAGGAAAAAGGGTAGAAAATGTGAGAGGAAAAGAGTGGGAACCGTGAAGGAAAAAGGGTGGGAAATGTGAGGGAAAAAGGGTGGAAAGTGTGAGGTGAAAAGAGTAGAAAATGTGAGGGGAAAAGGGCGGGAATACGTGAGGGGAGAAAAGGGCGGGAAAACTTGAGGGGAAAAAGGTGGAAAAGGTGAGGAGAAACAGGACGGGAATCACGAGAGGAGAAAGAGTGGGAAACATGAAGGGAAAAGGGTGGGAAATGTGAGGGGAAAAGAGTAGAAAACATGAGGGGAAAAGGGTGGGAAATGTGAGGGGAGAAAAGAGTGGGAAATGTGAGGGGAGAAAAGAGCGGGAAACGTGAGGGGAGAAAAGAGCGGGAATACGTGAGGGGAGAAAAGGCGGAAAAGGTGAGGAGAAACGGGAATCGTGAGAGGAGACAAGAGTGAGAAACATGAAGGGAAAAGGGTAGAAAATGTGAGAGGAAAAGAGTGGGAACCGTGAAGGAAAAAGGGTGGGAAATGTGAGGGAAAAAGGGTGGGAAATGTGAGGGGAAAAGAGTAGAAAGCATGAGGGGAAAAGAGCGGGAAACGTGAGGGGAGAAAAAGAGCGGGAGAAGAAAAAAGAAAAGAAGATAAAAAAAATTGATTTGGGACATCAAAGACACCCCAAAAAAGAGTGGGGGGACAACAACGACCCCTCAAGAAAGAGATGGTGGCGTTTGTGGAGGAAGCAAAGAGCGACCCAGCACATAAAAGGGTTGAGGGGTGGGAAACGTGAGGGGAGAAAAGAGCGGGAAAACGTGAGGGGAGAAAAGGCAGAAAAGGTGAGGAGAAATGGGAATCGTGAGAGGAGAAAAGAGTGGGAAACATGAAGGGAAAAGGGTAGAAAATGTGAGAGGAAAAGAGTGGGAACCGTGAAGGAAAAAGGGTGGGAAATGTGAGGGGAAAAGGGTGGGAAATGTGAGGTGAAAAGAGTAGAAAACGTGAGAGGAAAAGGGTGGGAAATGTGAGGGGAAAAGACTAGAAAACATGAGGGGAAAAGAGCGAGAAACGTGAGGGGAGAAAAGAGCGGGAGAAGAAAA